GGTGGGTGGGTGTGGCTGTGAGCGGTGCCTTTTCGAAGCCCAGGGAAGGGACAACTTGAGAGGCTCACCATTTCCCTCCAGTGTACCTCTTGTTTTGGTGGCAGGGGCCTTTTGGGGAAGATGAGCATCAGCCTGTGGTTGGGTGGGTGGGTGGTGGCTTTGGGAGGGGGTGAGCCCCCAGTCGGTGGAGTGCCATGGTGCTTCCAAAAGGAAAGGCACGGAGAAGAATGTCTGCAAGACGGCAAAGGGCCTCACATTGGACCATGATTCGATGGCTGGGGGAGACAGCTTGATAGAGTCGATAGAGGCTGCTCAGAACTTCCGCAGTGGTAGTGGAATGGAAGGGCTGACAACAGCCCTTAGAGACGTGCGGGCACTGCTGCCCCATCCGAAGATGAGGCGGAGGAAGAAGACAAGGATGAGGAAGCGGACGAGGAAGAGAATGAAGATCAGACTGAAGGCGACGGGGGCAAGAAAAACAAATTGAAATGGTTTGACAGGGATAAGGCTGTGAGTAAAGCCAAGAATCAGCTTGAAGCCGCGCATGAGAAGCTGTCCAAGGCTGCTGCGCCGAGCTCAGCAAGATGGAATAGCTTCTGATGAAGGCGATGTTACATCTAACGTTCCAGGCTGGCTTGCTTGAAGGCGGTGCATGATGGCACCGATGCAGCGTTGAAAACATCATCACAGAGGTGGACTGTGCAGGCAAAAAGCCTGCTACAAGGGAAAAAGTGCACACACTCGCGTGAAAAAGCGTTTTTTCACTGTTACCGTCGCTCAAAACCGACCCTGTTCGACCTTTCTTTGGCCAGGCGGCGTGCGGTTGACGTTGAGCGTGCTCGCGAGGTGATTGCTGTGAAGGAGAAGGGTTTAGCAGTTGTCATGCAGGCAAAGGATGTCAAGCAGGCCAGAGACATTATGACAGCATGGACAAAGCAACCATGACAAGATGTCTGAGGGTGCTACGATGTTTATCATTGCAAGTCGCAGGCAAGGTGGGTGCCGCGTACCGCAACGCATGCACTTGGTATTTGAAATCGTTGTTTTTAAATTTGAAAGTCAGACTAGTAGACTTCCCAAACTCCTGGTTGGAGCGGTCCTCTTTTTCTTCGCTGCGCTCGTCGGCGTCGGGTGGATTGGTACAACCAGGGGCAGGATTCCGGACCCTACTCCGGATCTAGAGCAAGAAGTGGCTGCCACATCCTGCTGGCCATTGTGGCCGGGGGTCCAACTCTTTCACCTTAGGATCGGAGTCACATTCAGACACACGTCTCAAAGTCGTGTTCACCATCAAGGAATTGCCCTTAAACTTTAAAGGCGCTTCAATCCCTGAGACTTTGTGCTGTATGAACATGCTATGTCCATCCTTTCCAGGAACTCGCGAATTTTGCTGACATGAATTGGCTCAAGGGATCTTGCTGAGATGATGAGGTCTGCAGGCTGGGGTGCGCGACCTTGCATCCAGCTGGGATGAAATGTCTGGCCAGGCCGCCTAGGGGACGGCCAAACCGATTGCAGAAGCGAGTGATGAGCGCAGGCCATTTTCCCGTGGAGACGTTCTTCAAGCTGGCATTTGGCAACTTGTCCGTGCAGTCGGCCATGTATTCCCCTTCAGACCTGGGCATACCTGCGCGCCTGGCGAGAAAATACCCGTTGTTGTGCCCGACAAGGCAAGCCCTTGGGCGACAGCTTTGGCCATGATGTTCTTGCGAAGTGCGCTTTCTGGTTGTTTCAACCTTGTGGGTCTGTGTATCTGCAGCCCTCTAAGAGTGATGTCAAGCAGTTCATGGATGACTTGGCCGCTAGCCGAATGTTGCCGGCTCGTCCAGACGGCCACACCTACGACTGCATGACCGTCATGTCTTCCGGGGCTCGAGTTCGTGCTCACCAGTTCTTGGAGCTGCTACCAGAAGCTTCAAATGGTGAAAATGAGACGGACTTCAACGTGGATCTGGCTCAGTCCCCGTCGCCTTGAGCATGGCTATTGTTCCAACTTTGGTGAGAAATTCCGTGATCTTCAATTTGGGTGAGAAGCGCCTCTTCCTCGCGGGGGAGCTTATGGCTGCACAGGGCTTGCCTATGCACCTCGAACCGAGCCTCCAGCACGGGACGGTGGCCGTGCGCTCGGCGGTTGACAGGCTGCTTAATCGGGCAGATTCAGAGATGCGAAAGATGCTGGGCAACACAATGCATATGGCTTAGATAGGATGTTGCTTGGCTGTCGTGCTGTGCGACCTGTGTGTTGCTGCATGAATCGCATGAAAACGAAGTGACTGTTCTGATTGAGTGAGTGATTTAATAATCGATTGATGCAGTATGCAAGTTTATATGAGCCACTTCCTAAGCTCACTAGCAGGTACCGTTTCAGATTTCTATTCCAATGATGTTTTTTTGATATGCCGCCCCTGACATTAATCACATACTGGCCCGTTGTATACTTTTGCTTTTGCTTAGGATCCTTTCTACTCACCACTGGTTTCATAATTGCTAGTGCTCCTATGCCGAGTATTTGCACCGAGCTTGAACTCCAAAACCCCGTACTGGAGAACCCTTTTCCTCAGAAGAGCAGATCTACGGAAGATTCCGGGAGATACTCGAATTTGGTTTTCAGTTTCATAAAGACGTATGTCAGATTGCGCATTCAATATACCATCACTTTCGATTTGCTTGGTGCGATGGCGTGTTGTCGCCTTTCACTTGTTTGTTGGGAGAATTATCGTTATACGGAGAGATTATTTCAATATTGACATTTTCTGCAGCTTATCTATGTATATGTGCACATATGTATACAAATATGCACATATTTGTTATGATAAGTTGGGGCGATGCCGGATTGCAACTGGCGCAGGGCTTGTTTGCCTGCCTTTCACTCACTCACGCACCCCGAAAGCCCAAAACTCGCACAATCTAAACCTTATAACCCTTTTGAATCCCTAAAACCAATCCACAACTGTATACCTTAAGCCCTAAACTCCAAAAGGCCCAAATTACGGCTCAAGTAAGTGGGGCTCAAGCTGAGCATCGTGAGCTTCGGCGCTCAACCAAAAGCATTAGCGGCATCTGTGGACCAAACTTGCACATCGATCGGTGACTTCAGTTCTGCATTTTCGCCAACTGAGATAAAGCTTTGAGAGATCGAGTTATCTAACCGGCTCAAGTTCGGCTCAGGGACATGTTCGGCTGAAACCAAGCATTGTCGGGGTCTCAGGTGTTGGCGCGCCGAATTCAAAGCGGCATCGTATGAGCAACTTCGACAGCGAGACGAAAACACTCGGCTTTAAGTCGGCGTGCTGTGTCAAATATCCTGCCAGGCATGTTTCGCATGCCAAAAAAAACAGGGGGCACAGTGGCCCTAGAGGCGATGTGGTCTTGAGAGAGTGGTTGCTTTTGATACCGTTTCGAGCCAAATAGGTGTGCCCAACAGTCCTGATGGATCCTAATATCTTGCGCTGCTGGTCGATGATCCTTCGCAGGGCGGCCTCGTCCCAGTTCTCGAAGTAGACCTGCTCCCGGTCTGTGTTCACCTTCATGTCCTCTTCTATGTACTTCTTGACGGGCTTCCAGCCGTCGTCCACGTTGATGCTTGGGCTGAACACATAGATCCTCTCGAAGCAGCCTCTGTATTGATCCAGAATCATTGAAATCAAGGCAACGGTCTTGCCAGACTTCGAGGGACCTACTAGGATCCCAGTGCAAGGCAATTGGGGGACCACTGGGTCGTCGTGGGGTTGCTTGCTCGAGTAGGAAAGGCTCGGAAAGACTTTGATCTTGCCCATGGTTTACTTTATCGGGTCGGGATGGGGGCAGGGCCAGCCATTCGACGCTGCCGCAGCATAGCCTCCTGAGCAGTGAGCTTTGTTTCGCTGGCATAGGGAACGATGATCCAGCCCTCTTCTTGTGCGGTGGTGCGGGCTTCCTCGGGCAAGGGATGGGTCTTGATAGTGTGGGTGCGAAGGGCTTCTTCTGACCTAAAGCGAAAGCCGTTCAGCTCGCAGCCCGGAACGCGGCAGTACAGTTCACAGGGCTTGCTCTTCATGCTTTTCCTCTGGGTCCTTGCCCTCGCCCTGGTCCTCTCTGCGCAGCTCGTCAAAATCTGTTTCTGCCTGACGCCATAGCGAACGGAGGGAGCAGGCCAAGAGCTTCAGATCGGGGGAGTAGCTGTGTTGGGATAAGTCTTGTACTAGGTCCAACACCGCATTCCCCATCTTCAATCTGCCCAGGGCTTCGGCCTTTTTGACCTCTGTCACCCAATCCGTGGATGCCATGGCCTCGAAAGTTAGATCGAATTGCTGGCTTTTGTCGGGAACCGACGGGAGGCGCGAGTTCCTTTTACTATAGGAGGCGACGACTTTTTCTTGGGACGGGGTCCTGGAAAAAAACGGGCAGCATTTCCCCAGGGCGGAGACCCAAGTTGTGGGTTTTTCGGGGTGTTTGGAGCCGCCCCATTCCCTGGACGGCTCCCTGGCGCCCCAGCCAGCGCGAAGCTTCTTCGGAGGCTGTGGGTTACGCATGGCCCCACATTTGAGCCCTAAGCGTCGGGCACCTCCTCAGCTTCGCTGGGTCACCACCAAAGTACCGGAGCCTCGCCGTAGGTCACTGGCTCCGGACGATGATGGCGTACCCTGAAAGCATCTTGGGCATCAAGGGCGCGAGCATCCTGAGCATCTTTGTGCAGCACGTCGTTTTGGCTCAAAGCGCTTGTGTGCACTGGACAAAATATAAACAAGATATAAGATATAACATAAATACAAATTCAAATATAACATGAATATATATATATATACAATAAAGACAGGGAGGATTTTGGTTGATTTTGCATGATTTTGCTTGATTTTGCTTGACATGCTCTCAATTGTTCCGGGTATTTTTGCGTTAAAGAGTATTTTTAAAGAACAGTTTTGATTTACGGGTCTATTTTCCGCGCCTCGGTTCGAAGGCAAACAGCAAGCAAAAAGTCAACACTCATACAGACACTAGTGACGGCAAGCGCTACTTTTTAGAATGACTTAGGCAGCAGTAGTTCAAGCTATGTTGTTTGTCGCGTCAGGGCCTCTGAGTGACTGTCGCGGAAGTGTGCAGGTTTAGTTTTAGACCGTCTTTGCACCTGCCCAGCACACTTCAGCAGGTAGTGAGGTTTAGGGTATGCAGCGCAACCGCGTTCCCGGAAGCCTTTGTCCCCTTGCCCGCTTTGCTCAGGTGAAGACCTCTTCTACTTCGACGACTGCAGGGGGCTCTGATTTTTTTGGCAGACTGAAAAGTAGCACGTAGGACCGCAGGCGCGCAGTTTGCGAGAAGTGCTGTGTAGTCTGTGCTGCTAGGACAAGATTAAGTGTAGTTTTAGGCAGGATAGGCAGGCCCAACCTCTCCTCCCTGAATCCCGGCCCCTCGCCTCGACGTTCAGGTGGCTTCTGGTGGCTTCTGGCAACTCTTGACGGTGCGAGAGCTCTGCATTCAAAGGTTTTGACGTCTGCTTGGTAGGAGTGCAGTGCAGTCTGCAGCGTGTAGGAGTGCTGTGCAAGCGAGGGTTTGTTTGTAGGAGTGCTGTGCGAGTGAGGGTGCTGCTAGGAATAGGTGTAGGGCAGTGTAGGGTAGGCGACCCTCCTCGTTCCCGGAATCCCNNCTTCATGTTTGCCCGCCTTCGACGTCAACGACGTTGGAGGTACGCTTCGATCTTTGGGAGGGTTTGGGAGGGTTTTTAGGGTTAAGTTTTTTAGCTCACACACGCGTTCCGCGCCGTTTGGTGCGGTGGACGTCTCTTTCGGCGAGAGGCGCACTGACTGCACTCCCCCCCTTCCGCGTCTAATGCAGTAAAGTGCCGACACGTGGACCTCATCCCCTTCGGCGAGAGGCTCACCGTTTGCATTCCCCCCCAACCCCACCCGTGTGTAAAGAGCCATAGACAGGGGCACCGACCCGAGAACCGGAGGGGCACCGACCCAAGCACCGGCGAGATGGCTCCCCTAGTACTCGCTAAACGTCGGGATAACTGCGCTGGAACGGCATGCTGCGCGTGTGAGTGTTGTGTGCGCTTCTCGCTCGCGGCCAGTATCCATCGACCCTTCGGGGGGAGCGGACATGATCCCTCTCGGTACTGTCCCGGCGGGTCGCTACATCTCAACCTCCAGGACACGGTGCTGCGAAGGCGTAAGTGTCGGTCGGGCGTGAGGCGAGGAATGGGACCAGTGAAAAAATGGGCCCTCCCTGATTTTCAACCCCCTGTCAGGTGGTGCCTCGGCTTTTAAGTTCATTGATTTCGCATTTCGGGCTTTCAAGCCCCCCACCACACACACCCCCCACCACACACCCCACCGCACCCCCCGCCACACCCACCACCACACTCCCCACCACACCACACC